TCCAACCTCCTTCGACAACGAAGAGAAAGGCATCCAATGTATAATCGTAGGCGGCTACCGTCGCGGAAAACCCCTCTGCGGCGACGTCGACCTCATCCTCACCCACCCAGACGAATCCCTAACCAAGAACCTGGTCGTCGACGTAGTCGCCAGCCTGGAATCCTCTGGCTGGATTACCCACACCCTAGCCCTGCACTTAATGACCTCTAACCGCGACCAACAAACCCTCCCCTACCGAGCAAGTAACGCCGACAGCACGGGCAAGAACTTCGACACCTTAGATAAAGCCCTCGTCGTATGGCAGGATCCTCACTTCGACGACACTACGAACCAACCGGAAACAGAAACTCCTCAAGAAGCAGAAGAAGAAGAACACTACGCAAAGAGTAAACGCAACCCAAACCCCCACCGCAGAGTAGACATTATCATCTCCCCCTGGCGAACAGTCGGGTGTGCCGTTCTCGGCTGGTCAGGCGATAAGACCTTCGAAAGAGATCTACGACGGTATGTGAAGAAGGCGCATGGGTGGAAGTTTGATTCCAGTGGAGTTAGGGAGAGGACTTCGGGCGGACAGGTTATTGATCTTGAGGCTGATGGGGAGACCTGGGAGGAGAGGGAGAGGTTGGTTATGGAGGGGTTGGGGGTGGGTTGGAGGGGACCCGAGGAGAGGTGTACCAGGTAATCTAACTATCTCTTTTTGCTTTCAATGATGATTGGGATGTTGTTTTTTTCTTTTTCTTTTTCTTTTTTTTTTTTGGTTTATGTTCTGGATTACTTACTACACGTGATTTGTTTGGTAAGTTGGTGTGGGTTGGCTAGAGAGAAGTTGTGTATCATGAAGTTAAGGTTTGATTTTCGTGAGGTCGTTCGGCTAGCAAAGTAAGCAGTATGTAGCTGGATGTCTGACCGGATGACTATATCTGCATACTAGTAAAACGCTGGGAGGTAAGAAGGATATAAAAAGCCACGTATATAACCGCCAGTATTGATTCAGGTTGTCTCATTGATGTAGTTGTTTGAATAGGTGGGTAGGTGATATAAAGGGAGAGAAGAGGGGAAGGACACAAAAACGGACCAAGCCACATCCATCCATTCCAAGAGGAAAAAGGAGACTTCATTTCATCGCCAGAAAATGCAACTAATACAAGGATGGAGGTTCATGCAATGAGACGAGACGGGAACACTTCAAAGAATTACAGAGAAGCGAAAGATAAAAGAAAAGAAGAGAAAAGAAAAGAAAAAGGAAATACAAAAGACACACAGTCAGTATAAAATAAAGGAAGCTTCCATCGATCAATCAATCAATCAGGTAAAGTCAATCAAGTCATTCATTACACCAGAGCCCTGGAGCTGGTCATTTCACCATAGCGTCCTCTGCCCCGGGTAGTATCGTAAGCATTCACCACTCTCATCTGTCCACCTTCGTCGGCCTGACTGAATGCGTAGCCGCGCTGTTTCCGCATACGTTGGACTTGACGGACTTTGCGGATCGCCTTCTGGAATTGTTCCATGCGGGGGCGGTAGTCCTGGACGTTGTATTTCTGGATTTCTTGCACGTGGTGGTAGTGTTGCGGGTAGTACATGCGCTTAGCATATTTCCAGGCGTAGTCGCGGAGTAGGCAGATGCAGGGGAGGATGACGGCCAATAGGTAGAAGACGGGGTCTTTGAAGAGACGCGGGATCGTGCCGTAGTATTCTTGTGAGAAGCCGATGGCTGGGGCTGCGTAACCGTAGGCCGGGAGGAAGATAAGCCAGAGCAACATCGAGCCTGGGATGGCGATGAACGTGTATTTGGTCCAGATGTTGGTAATCAAGGCCGCCTTGCCTAGCACTGTTGCTAGTGCTGCGGTGTAGGTTGCTTCGGCCCACACCCAGTGGCCGGAAGTTCTACCATCTCCTGTGGGTCCGTCCCAGAGGAAGAATAGTTCCGAGACGACGTACAGCAGGAGGGAGTGGTAGAAGCCGTTTAGAACCCATGACCAGAAACTGTGTCTCCTGAAGAACATACCCTTCTGTCCGAGTTGGTACAGTTGAGGATAGCGGTCCAGCAGTCGAGCGGAAATGTACTGGTCACAGATACCCATTGCGAATGGAGGGAGAACGGTGAAGAAAACGTTGTAGAAAGAAAGTGTCCAAGATTCGTAAATAACCTCACCAGAGAAGGCATTTTGGAAGGAATACTAGAGGTTGTCAGTAGCAGTACAAGATGGCGAGCAGCTTCGCCCAAGCTAAGGTAAACTCACCCAGAATTGCGTCATGTAGAGAGCAATGTTCTTATAGAACGAGTACAGAATGACACGACTTATGCGGTGGTAGTTCCAGGCACCATGGACCAGCAAAAGCTTGCGCAGATACCGAAACTGTGCGATAGCAACATCCGCGGACCGAGCAGCTTGTAGACCTTCAACACCGCTGATACCAACACCGACGTGTGCGGCTTGAATCATAGACACGTCGTTTGCGCCATCTCCAATGGCAAGAAGCAGGGACTTAAGGTGGCGTTTAACAAGCTTGACGACGAGGGCCTTTTGAAGGGGAGAGACACGGCTATAAAACATTAGCTCAGACCCGCCTACGGCAGCGAGGTTGACTTACCAGCAGACCACAGCTTTACACATGACAGCCAGGTCCAGGAACAGCTTCTCCATGTCCTTCTCAAGGGCAAATGTCAATGATCGACCATCAATAATCAGAGCCAGCGCTTCGATTTCACCAGAGGTCCCCTGGCTTTGAACAGCCTGGAGCTTCTTGGTTAGATTATCTCGAGTTGCCTCTGCACTCTCCTCATTGATAATTAACAACGTCATGTCCTCGGAAATAAGTTTGCACGACATTCCAATGTTGATGGCGGTTTCTTGTCTGTCACCAGTCAAGACCCAGATCTTGATTCCTGCCGTCTGGAGGGTATGGATAGTGTCCGGGACTCCATCCTGCAGACGATCTTCAATTGCTGTGGCACCCAGGAGATAGAAATCCTTCTCAATCAGCTCCGAAGCCTTATCCAGTTCGTCGGCACGGTTTCCACCAACTGTTGTCGCAGCCTTGTCGTAGATCTGGTACCACTGCTGGAATTCGTCTTCGGGAACTTCACGCATAGCTAAGCAAAGTGTCCGAAGACCATCCGATGCATAGTCCTCCAGATGCTGCAAAGTCGCTTCAACCATTGGGTTGTCGGGGTGCAGGCGTTCAAGGATGACAGTATCCGCACCCTTAGTATAGATGCGGATTTTTCCATCAGGGCAGCGAAAGATTGTCGACATGCGCTTTCTCGTAGAGTTGAACTCGCAGACCGCCAAAAGTTCATATTCGTAATCCTGGTTGTCAAAGGTGAAAATCACGGACCGGGGCTTACGATTGGAGAAGGCATAGCCCAGGGTTGCGGCACCTTCGACAAGTGCACCTTCATCAGGAGACGCGGCTTGATATTTGATCTTCCCTGGCTCTTTCTCAGATCTCTCCGGAATGACCGTGTGACAAGTAGCGAGCAGAGTGAGGAAATGATGTATAGCATCTTTCGAAGGGTGAGAGCGCAGGTTCTCCCTCAACTTCTTGAAACTATGGACTCCCACCTCCATTCCGTCCTCGACGGTGGCTTGCCGGTCCTCGGGAATGTCGTCACCATACTGGATGCCTGAGATCGTGCATTGCTTGAACTCCATCATGTTGCAAGTAAGTGTACCAGTTTTATCGGAGAAGATGTACTCTATCTGGCCCAACTCTTCAACCAAAGAGGATGTCCTGCACGTTGCCGGTGTATCTGTCTTATCGTAGTAGATATCAAGATCGGAGTTGATCAAGAAGGCTTGAGCATACTTGACGATTTCAATCGTCACGAAAAGCGAGATAGGGACAAGGTTCGAATAGAGAACCCAGTAGGTAAAAATATCAAGAACAAATTGTTTGACCGGATTGGTAGAGCCGTAGTCCAAATACGTGAGCTTACTAGCCTCAGTTTGGCGAACAATCAGGTCACCAACGGAACTGATGATACTGAGTGAAACTAGAATGCCAACCAACATGAGAATTTGAACATTCACCATGCGTTCCACCGCAGTGCGCTTGATCGGAGTTGCTGTCGCGTTCCGCATCAGCTTCGATTCGTGACCCGTGAAAACGACAATGCCATGGACCCACGGAGTGTTCCTGAGGGTGGCGCCTCGAAGGAGAAGTTGGTCCGGCGCCAATGGCAATTCCTTTTCACCTCCACCGGCGTGCATTGTCAAAGTTGCTTCGTAGGTGTACAGACTGCTGTTTGGCTGCTCAGACCGAACCCGTCCACTTAAGCGACTGAGATCCGCGGGGCTGACCAAATGCGCGGTTTCCGGAATTGCCTGCTTAATCTTCAAGTTCGTTTCCCCGTCCAGATTAGCGGTCTCGATATAACACAAGCCCTCCGGTTCCGAGGACGCCAGTAAAACCAAATCAGCCGGGAATGGTTGTTCGGACTCGACCCGGACAATATCTCCCACAGCCACATCGATCCACTTGGTCTCATGGAACTGTGACCCCTTCAGAACCTGCGTTTTCGAATTGTTCAATCCTTTGTCAGACATCCTGCGCTTGTAGTCCTCAACTAATTCCTTGATGGCCGATACCGCTAACACAATACACAGCGGGGCAATCGTAGTATATTTGTTCGTCGGAGACACGGTCGGAATCTGCTGGAGAACGGCGGTGAAGAGGAAGAAAAGGTTGGCGTATTTCGAGAATTGTTCGTAGAGGAACTTCGGGATAAAGGTAATGACATTGTACTTGGCCGTTGAAACGTGGTTGTCGACGTATTTGTGCGTAGCATTGGCAGGCGGATTGTTCAGAACGATCATGCGAGGACCCAGCGTAGATGGGTCGACCTTTCTGCGGCCAAATCCAAACTTGAAATCCGACTTCTTCTTTGCTTTGGGAGCCCTGGCCGCGCCGCCTTCGTCCGGATCTGCACTGTCCACCCGCGCAGCTCTGGCTCCAGATTCCGTCAGGGGCAGATCCATTTCCGAGTACTCAGCACCCATGCCCAGCATGTGCTTCGCTCTGCCCATCAACCCGCCTCCCAGACCCAGTATGCTGTTCCTTTCCTTTGCCTGCCGAACGCGGCTATCGGGTTGTAAATGGTTATCATCTTGGTAGTCGAGATCGTAGTATCCGTGCATCGACCGGTCATCGTCGAACTCGTCGAGGGAGTAGCGGTGGTAGTTGCTTAACCCGGAGGTTTGCGAGTAGGTGCGGGACATGTCGGCACCGGAGTAAGGATCGGTCATGTATACCCCCGCTTGGGTCGGGGGATGCGCGGGCATTGCATGAGCACCGGACTGCGGCGGCACCTGTCCGCCGACGAAGTGGTCGTAGGAAACTGAGGGACGCGGGTGCGGAGTTTCGGAGTCGTCAATGTCGTATTGTCGCAACAAGTGGTCATCGTTGACCGGTGGGCGTTGTCCCGAATTGTACATGGGAGCCGACTCATCCAGCAGCAGTTCATCATTGTGGCCAGCGGCTGGATGAGGGCCGGGGGGCCTACCGCTGGCCATGACGCTGGGGGCGGACAAACAGATGCCCCTGGAGCATTGATTGGCCGGAACGAGACGGGAGAGAGGATCACCGAAGACAGTGGACTTGCAACGCGGTCGGAGCACGAGGAGGTATCAAGCGGAATACTCGAGAGTCGAGAGTAAGCGACGAGGAAGGTGCGAAAGTTGGGGATGGGGGGGGGGGGTGGTGAGGAGAAATTCTGACTGCCTGGAGGTTAAGCCAGATGCCGCGCAAAGGCGTCGAGGCTAATCAGAGTTAGCGTTGGATCACCGCCAGTGGCTGGGCCGACACGATTCTTTGTCTTGTTCGATCCATACCCCGTTAAGACAGGGTGGGTTTGCCCGCGCCAGAATGGAATGAGAGCTAGCTGGTGCCCACCCTCTGAAACAGTTTCAGATTAATATAGCGAGATCAACCGAAAGAGCCGTCCATATCCACTACTGGAAAGCGAGCTTCCTCTCGGCAGTTGGTTGTTGTTCAGTTCCATTCAAGAGAAATGGCTTGCTTGTCACGGGGCTGCCAGATCGGGCTAGTGATTCCGAAATGGGAATGGTGGCATGGTGTATTATCGTAATACCGTTACATCGTTATGACACCTGAGGCGTCTAATGGTCTCCATCTACAACACAAATTGCATGACTGCACGGATTTATAATAAGGAGATATCATTGCTACTATGCACAATATGCAGAGGATCTGACATTCATGTCACATGTTTTCATGGCTTGGCTCATCTGCGAGTCAGTTTAGCAACTCGCAAGTACCAACAACATGAGCATCCAAAGCTGCGCCACGATCCCGGTAAGCAGCGCATGCCTATTATTAGACTAGATGTTGTTTTTGATCTCGAACGTCATCATCACCATGGTTCCTCTATACTTGTTACGGATGAACAATCATATAGTGCTATTCAGCCTCATGCTTAGCATTCCATGGTAGTTCCTCAATCTGGTTACAATGTCATCAGTTGTACCTTATCATGAGCCCATCGATATGCGTTAGACACGCAACTAGGAGGAAATGACTACCTACCCAGCTTTTGATTCTACTAAATCTTTCCATTTCGTATCTGCATTCCACAGGATATGGCTACAACTGAAGAATCTACCCCAGTCACTCCTCAAACGGAAAACACAAGTATGGCGGCCCAGAAAATCTGCATCCCTGAACTTTTGGAGACGATTCTTCTACAGCTGGATATGCGCACTTTGCTCGTATCTGCTCAAAGAATCTGTCGTGCATGGCACACCCTCATCAAAGACTCCAGCTCTCTCTAGACTTTACTGTTCTTCAAACCCGCCACCGAACTGTTCACGCCCGAGCTAAGGACACGGGCAATGTCTGAGGATAACCCACTGCTTTCCTATATATGGCACGAATTCTGGCGTAAGAGAGTGTCCACCTCGTCTGTTAGTCTCAAATTACCTCCACTTGAACCAAAAAGAGAGAATGTGTTCCTCCGAAAAGAAGCAAGCTGGAGACAAATGCTACTCCGGCAGCCGCCAGTTCCGTCGATGTCTGTTGTTGAATACGACAAGACTTAAACAGGGCTCCACAAGAATCAACGCTTTGGTTCAAGGAGGAAGACAAACTTATGAGGTTGGGGTATTCATACTCGGAGATGTCGAGGCTGTCCCTAATTCCTGGGCGAGATCTTCGCACGTTTTGGGAGTGCGACCTCATCAATCAGTACGAAGAAAAATGGAAGAATGAGCGTGCACACGTATCATCCAGTTATTTGCCATACTACGCATTTGTGATATATTGTCATGATATCCAGGGAATAATTAGTGGCATGGGCTTTTAAACAGTGACCTAGAGCTATGGCTAGGAAACGAGCTTGGAGCTTATGTTGGCAAGAGCATCCGCCGCCATGAAATTATCTGTAATAATTAGAGCCTATAGCTGCATGGATGTGGGAAGATTGTGCGTATTGCTATAAGGCATGTTAATATGCTAAAGAACTCAATAAGACACGGATGCCACGACAATTTGATTTTTACATCTAACGACGTTGGAATGCAAGCTGTAAAGGAGGCAGACTCGTAGTAAATGTATCCAGTGCTCCCGTTTCAAAAGCCTCTCCCGTCTCGCCAGGCGCAAACGAAAAGTTGTACTGCTGGGCTATGGTCGATATGCTGGTCCGCAGACTAATCATGGCCAGGTTCTTTCCGGGACAGATATAAGGGCCTGCTTCAAATGTCAATCTGGGTAAACCACAAGGGAAACCATCGCTTACCTGTCAAGAATGGAATGAAGGGGGCACCATCGGTCTTCATCTCGTGTCTCTTCTCACTCCATCGCTCGGGAATGAATTTATTAGCCTCCTCGTAGTACCTTTCGTCAGTCTGAATTAGCTGGACAGGCACGAAAACAATGGTGTCTCCTGGAATATGGACTTCATCGACCTGAATTCCTTCGGCTGGCGTGACACGATAACCCCCTGTCATTACAGCAGGGCGCAGACGAAGGGTTTCATTGATAATGTCATCAATAAACGAGATATCCTTGACCTTATCATAACTCCAGTCATCTGCTCCGCCCGGCATAGCCTCGTCCAGTTTCCGCTGGAGCTTGGCCAGCACAGATTGATGCCTAGCCAAATAGTACAGGACGGTCGCCAAGGTGGTGGCAGTGGTCTCACTCCCCGCAATAATGACTGCCCGTGAGTCCTCATTCAGTGCCAGGCGAGAAGGAGCAGCAGAAGCACTTTTCTCCACGTATGCTTTGAGAAGCCATGAAACGACATCTTCGGGATAAGAGTTTGCATCCCAAGTCTGTAGGAATAGCATTATACGACACAATCATTAGATCTCACCATTAGATTTTCACGATGAGAATTGCATACCTTCTGCTTCCTTTCAATTTCATCAGCACACCACTTGAAAAAGCTTCTGTAGCTAGAAACGGCACCAGGGATACGGCAGAGTATGTAGAGGAACCACGGGACCTGCAATAGAGTAGCACCGGCGGCCATATGGTCATGAATTCCTTTGATCGCTGGATGCTCCACACCGGTGGTCAGGTTATGGAAATCTTTGCCAAACCCGACGTCTCCCATTATATCAAAGCTAAGAAACATTGTCCAAGCCGTCACATCGATAGGTTGGCCCAGGTTCTTTGCTATATGGGCGGCAAGGAGATCAGCCTTGCTTTTGACCCGGGGCTCATATATTCCGAGAGCTGAACGAGATGATGGGGATCAGTCATTGGGTTAATGGAGATGATAGAGAGAGCTTTATCAAGCTGACATACATTTTACGTTGAAGCCCCGGTCCCACGCCTTTCTCCGCATTCTGTGGTCATCATGATCACGAGTGTGATGCACAGAGCAGTACTTGGGGTTTGTTGAGACATGGGCATACCATGGTGACTTGCTGCATTTGGACTGTGGCCCAAAAAGCAAAGGTATGGCGGACTTTCGCACAATGCAGACCTCACGTGGACCTATAAACGTGGAATACATTACAACCTGGACGAGAAGATGGATAAGTAACTAGCACAGGATTACCGGTTCGAACAAAGTCGCCATATTCGTGATGAAGTCTCGCGATCTCCACATTGTATTGGAGATCTTTGCCTGCCAAGTAGGCATTATAGAAGCGGGATAACTTGGCACCCACTGGACCTGGAAAGTGATGCAGGCGATGGAAGAATAATCGATAGATGCCAATACTAGAGATAAGACCCGTGTTGAACGCGAATGCGATGAGTACCACTCTAAGAAGAGCCTGAGCGAACGAGAATTGCGTCAAGGCTATGTACGCATATGCTGTTGATAGTACCGCGACCGCATAGATTGGAAATAGTACGAAGAGATAGTCTTCGACCGGGAAACTGGTGCGAAAGAGACTGACGTGCGAGAGCAGCCCAAACCCCGCGGCAGAAGCAGCCAGACTGAGCAGATCCGATTCCAACACAGCCCGCATGTCTGCCAACGAGACAACAGATGGAGAGAGTTGCATTGTGCTCATAACCTATTTCTGTATGTTAAAGTGCATGGAGATGTTTCCACTGACATTGAAACAGGGTGGGGCACCTGTTAATAAGTGTAGAGGGTAATAAATAAACGTAGAGTGAGCCGTGGATGCGGACATGCTGGCACGTCTGTTTGCAGCCGATGCTCTGTCATCTGATCGACAAAACTAATGGTTAGGCCCCCAACGCCGTGTTAACTAGCACAAATCCATGCTAATGCTTCGTCCATTCTGTGATGCAGTGATAGCGCTAGTAACTCAAGTCCAGCAATAATATGATCGTACGTAGCCACGCTAGCTGATTGCATGACGTAATACAATATAGTCGTTGATAGCCATGTTAAGCATTTGTCAGTTCCTAGCATATTGGTACTTATTATTCTGTATCTCTTTGTTTCAGAAAATAATAGAAACTGAACATATACGACTGGACCTGACACTACAAATTAGTTAAAGTGTACTTTGTAGATGCAAATTTTCTTTATAATTAACATCATTGTATAAAGCCACATGACCAGATCATGAACCCTATATGCACCTAAATAGTATGAATAGATGCTAATATACTCCACCACTTTTTGGCCCCCAATCATATCACTGATATATAAGGTTGAGCTTTATCCCAATGTGTAAATGTCTTCTATCCCTTCATCACGATATCGTAATCTTCGGAGAAACCAATACGCATGCAACTTGCTAAAAGGGAGACGAGGGTGTCTCAAGTGCCGCGTGCCTCGAGCAGGGGCAAGGGCAATCTATATCTAACGAAAAATGAAGATCAAACGTTGTCAATCTCGTGTTATCTTGTAAGCTTGCTAATTACATCCTAACAGAAAAAACATGCTAACGGAAGAAGATGAGGTTCGTGGTATCCTTCTTTAGAAAGGTACGGCACAACATCCCCGCCTTTAGATAAGGCGTTGTTCTCAACGTTGTATCAGAGAGCATCCTCAACTTATTTAGCAACACGGAGAGCATCCCCAACAACCTTCTTTCCTGCTTTTGTTATCAGGGTGAAGCATGGTAGCTTCCTTGATAGCGGCATCAGCAATGTTGAACGGGTTAAAATTGTCAAGTTCGCCAGCGAACGCAGTTAGACGGGCTGGCAGAATATTAATCCACCTCTAGAGATCAGTAGTCCCTTCAATAGTCTTGAGTACTGGGCGAGTCCAATCAGATTTAGTAGCTGGTCCGTCGTCGTGCTATGAATAGGAGATTGCCACCGGTTCCTCCACTCAGTCCTCCTCTGACAATGGTCTGGCGGAAATCATGGTACACCTTGCTTGCGACGAACGTAACCTTAGTCTTAAGAAGATTAGGTACCATAAGAACATTAACCAGTATCGGACACTTCGCCTTGAAGAAAAAGTCAATAGTAGTATGAGAGATTTTGAAGTTACTCCATCTTTTCTGTTCTACAAAGTAGAAATTTACAGGTTTCTCTGTCGTTGCGCCGGCACCGACTGTAATAATCCCGGAGACGATCGCTTGCTCTTTCAGCGGATTCTTATAATTTATGAGCCAGTTCTTAGACTGGTGTGCGACGTCGCCGCTGAGGATGTAATATCCACAAATAACATGATAGCAGTGGATACCCTTCTCTTCCAACCAGATGGCCGGACCCCTGGGCTCTCGGTTGGGGCGGATTTCTTCCTTTCTGGTGAAATCACTGGTCCCATCACTGGCCTCGCGTAGCGGCGGCGATAGTTGTGTCATGTAAGATCATGTAGACCCACGCGTCGGACAAGTGCACGCAGGATCAAGCATTTCTTCCCCCTCCGTAAGAATTGTTTAGGGTTATTAGCGCTGAGCCTTTTTGTAAGTAGCACTTATTGCGCATGCAGACGGAAAAAGGGGTGTGGTTGTCCGTCAAGACTCCGTATACCGTAGGGTTTTACTTCCGTTCCCTAATCTGGCTTGGCGGATTGACGCCCATGTTAGTCAAGATAGAACATTGCATAGTTTAAAAAGATTGATTTTTCGAAATCCATCCATATGGGATATATCTGTGTAAAGTCCGACCAATCATCGCCGCATTGTCTCGTTTCTAGTATGATAAGGCTGCAGGTCTTATTTGCAGCTTCTTTAAACCAGGAATGAGAAATCCGCGATGTAAGCGTTCTTTAAAATTTCTCACGACGGACCCCAGAATATATCAGGAGGGATGCGAGCTTTGCCGCCAGACGGTCGAGCTCCCCGTACGTAAATGTCTCGTCCCATGACGAAACGGCCGGGGTCTCTGGGGATTGACGACACCACTTTTGGTTCTTGTCACGGACCCAGATATCCAGGCGCATAGGAGCCTGCTTGTTGACCTCCAGTACACGATCAAGCGCAGTTGGGCTGATCTGCATGAGGTCCCGAATCGCCAAGTATCCCCGGCCCAGTGCCTGAGAGACGGTCCAAATAAACTGGTCGAGGAGAGCCTAGCAGTGCGGGTTATCAATGGAAGTATCATCGAAAACCATGCTCACAGATAGATTTTGACCCTGGTGTTTGCAGTCCAAGAACATGGGGACGAGTGGAAATATGCTGGATAGACGTGGCCCAACGGCGGAAGACACATTCCATGCTGATATATCACCGTTCCGGTACAAAAGGATGGCCGGGAGTTTTGTCGATGGTTGATCGTCCACGATTGAAGAATCTGAGATTAAGATGAGGCGACAACCACGACCCCTTTTGTACTGTATTGGGCTCTGATCCGCCGAGGGGATTGGTTACCTGGGCCACCCAGGGACTGTCTAGAGTATTCTGGCGTAGTTGCTAAAACCTCTACTACTTGGGGCGCAGCTTCACCGACGCTGAAAATATTGGCTGTTCCCAAGATTGAATGGGACAAGGGAAATGATATCCCGATGGCTATCAGCCACAGACTCGGTAGACCCATATAAAAGCACTACGTCGGTCTACCTGATACATGTAACATGCAAAAGTATGGTGCTGCTGAAAAAGGGACACCCCTTCAGAGCACCTCAGAATAGATCAATGAGGCTATCAGCCAAGATTGGCTTCTAGCAGGACTAAGATGTTCGGCTATGTCCACTTTGCCAGGCCGACGAGGGCTACATCTTCGCGGCACGAGGCCGGATTCGCGCCTCAATATCACTATTTGGAACGAAAAACCCACTCGTCAAGGTATTGAAAGGAAATTCCTGTACGCCAGGCATTAAAGTGACATCGAAATCGAGGAGGATTTTGGCGAAGACGGCTTGGATGACTCTGCTCGCCATGAAGCGACCTGGACAGGTGCTGGTGCCGTATCCGAAGACTAGAAATTTGTCGGATGTGGTCGTAACACGTGCAGTACAGGCCCCCGAGGACGCATCGTAAAAGCGGTGGCTGTCAAATCTCTCCGGGCTTGGATACAGATCCTGATCTCGGGCCATCCAGTACCATGGTAGCGTGAGGATCGACCCCGGGGGAAAAGTGCGGCCAAGGGAAGGGATGTGGACCGGTTTTATCACAAGACGACTCGAGGAGTCTGGTAGGTTTGGTTGCTTGTTAGTGTCTCGCTAGAACGGGCGGTGGGGAGATTGCGCACATAGACTGGAGCTGTGAAGACGCAGGGTTTCACGCATAAAGCTCTCCAGCTTGGGGCATTGGTTCATCACGTCAGGACAGGTACATTGTCCCGCGGGCAGGGCTGCCTGTAGCTCCTCACGGAGAGGTGGGATGCACTCTGGATTTACCATGATGCGGTATATCATTGCAGACAGGATCACTGTGATCGGTGTAGCAGTTTCAAAGTGAAGGAACATGATCTTGTCAGCTATCCGGCTGAATTGCTTTTCCTCATCGTAGTACCTGGTCTCACGACCAGTTGTGTTTTCAGCCATCCACTCCTCGACCACGGCATCCAGTAGCGAACAGGACCTATCTTCAGACTTTTCGGAACGTAATCGACGCACCTGACAGCGAATCTCAGGGATGAGTCTGCTCTTGAGCTCGTTCATGACTGTCCTCATTTTCCGATTTGCTGGAGCAAACCGTGAGATTAGGGAATGCACGGCTCTTGGGAATTTGACGCAAATGCTTGTATGGTACATTATAGAAGAGTCGTAGGACATGTAAAGCTCAAGGAGCTTTTGGTCCAATGCAAATTCAGGGCCCATAATGCACGCAATCATAATCCGCGAGTTGATATAGCTTAGTCTTTCCCAGACATTGATCACCTGCCATCCTGCGGTTGAGTTGGTCACTTGTCCGGGTTTCTCTCCTCTGCACTCGCATCCACTCACCTTTTTCGCCGGGGCTCACGGAAAACGCGGACGGTATGATGTGATCGACCTGACTGGCGACCTTGTCGGAGAATGCATCTGAGACTAGTATTAGCACTCTCCCTGAATTTTCTATTTCCGCATCCCAAGGATCCTCGAAACTCACCCAGAAAAGGCTTCTTATTGCATTTGATGAGGGCATTGGTCACTGTCTGCGATGCCACGTCCGAGTGGAGGTGGTGCATATTTTCCTGAAGGGGTCACTAGCCTGACTTTCTCGGCTTCTTGGGGGTGGTCCTACCTTTTCGACTAATTTGATGAAGCTGAGATGATCTTGTGGAATATAGCTCCATTCCCTGGCCGACTGTGGTGGGAGGCATATCACGTAGAACCGGTTGGAAGGTCTTATAGCCCAAGGTAAGCCATTTTTGGTATACTGTCGAATGAGTAATTGTAGTTCCGAATAGAGACAACGGATACATAAACTCTCACCTGCTGGTACGCGTGAGCAGTCTCGTTAACTAGATCGTGCTCGGTTGACCTCCATCGCAGCAAAGAGCAAACGTCACTCTTCTCACCGACTATGGGAATATCCCCCAATTGCTTTCGGATGCTCCTTCCATAGAGATAATCGTCCACAACGATGGCGAGGCAGACAGTAAGCGCGCTCGCGAACACAGCCAGCACAGATCCCTTTACCAGATCCCAGTTTGGAAGGAAATCCATGGGAGATTTGAAAATAATGTAGCTGTTATTGAGATTGTACTACCCATCTGTACTGGGGGGAAAGGGAGGAGGAAAATATAAATCTTCCCCTGCCAGTTTGTGCGATTGATCCCTTTCCCCCCCTCTGCCTTATTGAATAAATGCCGCTAGCTCCCCCTTGCAGCGTGAGTGCAAATGAGCTCGCCACGCGCGTTCTATTCTCCAAGTTCACCGCATGAAGGTGGATAGGTACTCTACCATGTCGGTGAAACATCAGGCATGCATAGTCCAGATTCATTGTATTGCCTGTTTGTATTCACACTGAAAATCAAAATTAAGGAAGCTCTTACCGACTCCCCTGCGCCTGTTTTGCTTTTCACGTTTGCCTACATTGACACAATAAACAAGTCCCCGTCATATAAGACTATAGTCAATAGAAGAGAGTAACTGCTAGTAACAGAATTAAGGGTATTATGACTGTCCCTTTCCTCGTGACTTACACGATGCATACTGGTACTTCATTCTAAACTCCATGGGCTGGTGGACAGTAGCCCGCTTATGTTCCCCGTCAGGCATCTCAGCAGGCTTCCCTGTAGTCTGAGGCACCAACACACCGTCGCTTCTCGGATTTACACGAAATACGGGATGGAGAATCTTTCCGTGCTCGTACTCGTACTCACGCCTGGTGGTGGGCAAGAATCATCACGCGATATCTATACGCAGGCAGGTAGCCATTACTTCATATTTCTCCAAAGCTCCCCATGGTGAACCAGATGCGGTCTTTAATCTCAGTCGTGGGGCTGGAAGGAACGTCCCGGGCTGGCTTCAATCTTCGACCTCCAGTTCCTGGTTCTGATTCTGGATGAGAAATGTGAAGGTCGTAAAGTCTGTGTGCGAGGGACACCAAGTGGTCGCCTGACGATCGGTGGTCGACTCGAGGAGTGCTGGATAATGCAGTAGTCGTATTTTACTCTGGGGCCCGGCGTGAAGAGAGCGGAAGTAGTCGGCCTCGCTGGGGTCTACTTCCAGTCCCAAGAGCAGAGCGTCCAGGACGGCTCTGTGCAGCTGCTCCAACTTTTGGAGAAAATCCTTCATGAATGCCCGGAATCCGGGGAGGGTCTTTTCGTCGACCCAACGATTATGGTGAAAAGGTTCCTGGTCGCTGCCAATAAAATTCCGGTTAGAAAATGTCTGGAGAAGCACGATTGATGTCCGAACATTTCAGTCCAGTGCTTTGTCCGCTCTGAGCCCCGGATCGAGCTGTAGATCCTTTGCCTGCCCACGCCAGTGTATCTGCGATACGGCACTGTCCCATGCGGATGCTCAACCTTTCTCTTTTCCCCCAGGGGCAGATCAAAGAACTCCTTTGACCGTTGTAGCGCCTCGCCAGGTCTCAATGTCGATGCCGTGGCCAACAATGCCGCGGCATCCTTGCCCGTGGATCACCTTAACCAGTTCATCTGCTTTGGCCTTGCGGAAAACGGGGTCATTGCTATGGAGATAGACAGAGATATCGACGGTCTGAAGGCCGTTAGGGCCTGAGATAGAGCCCATCTTGGATTTTGGTTGCAGACAATTGGGAAGAGAGGTCAGGCACAACGTAAAGTGCAAGCTTTTAAGGCAGGGCACAACCCTGGGACATTTAGTTAACTGCCATGCAAGAATCGGCGACATGAACCCCTTAGCTCCAATCTCACTCAGCATACTCTCATTTCATAGTATGTACGTACCTGTGTCGAAGCCTTCGGTGTGTCTCCTACCGGACCTCCAGGTATATGCGCAGCTACTACCTAGGTAGTAGTGTTATATCCCACTTAGCAGCATGCCACACGCTCCAACCCAAATCAATATCTAACCTCTCTGCACCTTTTAAAAAACGAGCGCATTACTGGAAAGTGTCCCAAGGCCAATACAGCAGGTGGCGCGTGTGAGATGGCGGTGTGTCATTTGCCCTTGAAAGTAGCCGTCGAGTCACCCCCTAGCTGATGATCGTTCGATTCTGAAACATTGCGCAACTTTGGCGTTAAATATGCCTCCTTGCGGTCTACCTGCAAATTAGTCGCACGAGGTTCCGCCTCCAAGGCAATCAAGCGAAGCAGATGCACTTCGACTGGTAAATTGCTGACGGACTGTTATCCTAGGCGTGAGACGTACATGTCCGGTACATGTCCTTGCCTGCCTTGGTGCAAGCACCACCTGGGTAATCCGATCGTTGTATCCTGGGGCTTTCTTTTTTCTTTTTTTTTTTTTTTTTTTCTTTCCATACGGTCAACGCTGAAGAGTTCACCCAGGAATTGGATTAATTGAAAGGTAACTCTGTGATTGAGATTTGTTAGAGTCATCTAATATACCTAGTATATAGTACCTATATACATGGAGGCGTCGACGGATCTCCCCCTAAATCTAATTATTCTTTATTTCGTGTGGATACTATGAAGAACAGGAAGTCAAGTAGCGGTCAGATGTGACATGTCAACAAATTGGGCGAGAAGGCGGCGTGCGGCGGCAGAAGCGAGGTCCTGCCGAGCTCCAGGTACTGGTTCGTACAAGGCGTATAGATCCCATAACAACAGCAAGCTTTCGGATCTAGTTAGTAGATATAGGCGTTTAGTAAGGGCTAGAAAGATAAGTAGGAAGCAACCTTACCTTGCCTAGCGTGTAAATGATCTCATAATTCTCTCGGCGAGAGGATACCGTTCCCCTAGTAAATACCATCTATAAAAGAAAATAAAGTCTCTACGGATCCTGACGTTCTCGTTAAGGTTTCTCGAAGTCATTCAACGAGAAGGGCGTCCCAGATAACTCCCAGCCTGCGCAGTGGGGATATACAAGACAACTTGAGTAAGTACCGATGGTCTATTCTCGTATCCATAAATTAATCACCTTGCCGCCCAGCGTCGTGCAGATGGCGACCGGATCGTGCTGGGCAGAGATGAGCCAGTTTATCAAATTCGATCAGCTCGCGGATGGCTCTCACCCCATAGACCATGGATACAAAGAGATGGCATTCAGGCGTGTGGCTAAAGTACGGCTGAGCGGACGGCAAGCCCTATTTCGCACACTCTATGGTATATTTTATATCGTAGCTAATACCAGTTTCTATTCGTGTAACCCGGGTAAAGTCCAATGCGACTGATCGAAGATATATAATCCTATTATGGCCCGTTCTCGGCAAGCGACGACGGCTTCGAGCAGACGAATCGAACGGGAGATTACATTATTGTTCTAAAAAAAGCCAGACTCCATACTACAAATTATATGCAGAGAAGCTCCAGGAAGCGAGGCGCTGAGTCAAATCGGCGATTCCTTGTGTCGACAGATATAACGCCTGACCGCTTCACCTGGAGGACGTTATTGACTGAGCAGCGTGACCGACCCTGTCTCAGCTGCAACATGACTGGCCGAGCCATTGCATTCATCCGTAAGCTGGATTGCCTTCATCTCAAGTGGTTCGATTTTGTCATCTCCGTGGAGAGCCATCCGAGTCGCATAGCTAGACAGCAGTGTCAGAATTTCTGTTGCTCGCTCACCACTGCAGAATGAAGTCCAATAACGGAAATCGATCTCGATATGCGATGGTGACACCATCACTGCAACGCAGATATCATACTGACAAGGCATTAGCGTGGAAGGGAGCGGCAAGAGGGAACGCTTACCTCTGTCGGGTCATGAACCTCCAGCACCTTTACCTTGATCCCGTCTTGGCTTTGCTGGTCAGCATTGCCGGCTTGAGGGGCAGATTGGACCGTCAAGCAGGTGTTAAAGAACCCCTTTGGATCGTGTCCTGCCCGGGAAAGAACTTCTGGCAAAGAACAGTGCTGATTTGCCATGCGTCGATTCATCTCCGTTTGGTTTTCTCGTAGAACATCTAGCAGTGTGCGGGACTGGCTTAAACGCAGAGAGCACGGCAAGACATTGAAACAGGAGCCCACCAGTTGCTGGATGTCTGGCAGTGGAAGGTCACGGCCGGAAAGGAGTGTAGCAAAACAGACCTCGTTTCTGTCGGTATAGTGCCGCAAGACCAAGGCCCAGGCGACTTGGAAGACGTTGGTCAGAGTGAGGTGATGCGATTTCAGAAATCGATCTAGCCCGCTACGGTTGGGAACCATGAGTTTCTTTGAGCGCAACTGACCGTGACTACGGTTATGCTCCCGGTCCCCGGGAAGCACACATGGCTGACAAGCAGCCAGGAGGTCGATCCAATGCTGCATCTGATTTGCACGGTCTTGGGCTTGCAAGTGCGATATGTATGCGCCGTAAGAGGGAGCGATCTTCGGAGATAGACCTTCTTCTCTCAATATGGAAGCCAGCTCGCTCAACAAAACGTCCATGGAAGTAGCATCAATGAAGCCTTTTCCGAACGAGAGCTTACAGAGCGTCCGGTTGTCCGAGGTTTTGCCCACAGCCATCTGCTGGGAAGGAGAGATGTCCCACGAATACCGGGGCGGCAGCTCTCTTAATTGCTGTAGAGTATCTGAAAAGGAATAACAAGAGGGCAGGACAGTCACATCTAGGGATGGTAGCTTCAGTACAACACTGAGAAACTTTCCTTGCCTGCCAGGATATTCAATAAGGACGGTTCGCAAAGTAGCATGACGTCGGCTGAGCTCCTGCCAGGCCTTCGCAACCAGGGCAGGCTCAACCACCCCTTGATCTGATACAGTGATCTCAAGTATACTCTGCACGCGATGGCGAGATGCGGTACCTGTAATGCCAGTGACGAGCCCACAGTGGGCATCAGAGCACGGGTAGATACTCTCAATCGAGGAGACGGAGGAGATGCGTAGCGCCGTTTTAATTTTCTCTTGCAACAGATCGAGTTCGCTGTAGCGAAGCGGTGCCAGCGGAATGTCACTCAGCGTCAGCTGGCTGTCCTTATCTATCAATTCCACTGCCGCCTCATGCAGAGATTGCTGGTATGCGCTGATCCAGCGGCCAATCTCGGGCTTACGGTGCGTGTGCCCGCTGTACCAGACCTGGACACGAAGGCAGCCGTTGCGGACGTCTACAGCTACGTCGAACAGAGCCTGGCGTGGCATATCGGCTCCGACGTCCAATCGCTCGTCCAGATGCAAGGGGGTGTGCGAAAAGAGTGCGCCCGGTCGTTCCAGCTGTTGGTACCGCCCACTGTAGTTGAACAGGATCTCCATGCGATCATGGCCAGCGAATGCTGAGCGAAACTCCGGTTTGAGGTGCCGTGAGCTGAAATAAGCTAGCCCATTGTTCGGCAGACTCCGAGAGACATCCTTGACACGACGGACCAGCTCACGAAGATCGAGTGAGGCTGTGCTGTCCTCCACCGTGCAAGGCCGGAGGATCGTAAACCAGCCCACAGTCCGGGAGAGGTCGATCCCATGACGACCAGCCTCTCTGCCATGTCCCTCACTAAAGATTGTTGGCGTCTGTCGGTCCTTGAAGGTGTGAGCCCAGGAGTGCAGCAGAGCTGCTTGGAAGATCTCTTGTGGCTGGGAATTCCATGTCACGTTCGCCGGACCCAGTAACTTCTGGGTGGTGGCTTCATCGACAGTGAATTCATGACATTCAGCATCCCCGTATGTGTTGTGTTTCGGAGACAGTCCCCAGTAATCATAGTTGGCCGGACGCACTTCGAAGGGAAGGACCTCCTGTTGCGTTGAGTAGACCCGACATTCAGTCTCCAGAAATTGTACCCATTTCGCGAAAGAGACTGGTTCCTTCATGGAAGGGTCATGACCTTCCAAGAACTCCTCTATGTCGTCTAGGATAATGCGCCAGGACACCAGATCCACGACCATATGGTGACCGATGAAGAGTGCGTAGTCACCATCTTTCGGAGTATGGATGAGGTCTAAGGACAATACTGGGCCCGTCCGCAAGTCCAAGCAGTTATGGGACTCCTCTGCAAGTACACGAACCTGTTCAATCCGTGCTACGTGGTGTTCTCGTATCCGTAGCGAATGATGTGTCGCCGACTGATACTTTAACCGCAGGTCACCCGATTCCCCGACGACGAGCCGGGCCCGAAGCATTGCATGATGATGGACGATCTGGTGCAGCACTCGGTTCCAGTCATCTAGGTTGACTTCCCGGTTGATCTTAACCAAGAAGGTCTGGTTGAATCGGTTTTCTGCCAGGCTCGCCGATGGAAAAATTAGTGACTGGATTGGACTCAACTTGAACGGAATCTCCTCATCGACGGCATCCAGATTGTTAAGAAGTGTATCCTCTCGAGGCAATTGAGCGTTCTCACAACATTGAGCAATCGTGTTGTGGGTCAGAAACTTCTGCATAGACAGTGGAATACCCGCCTTCCTCGCAAGTGAGAGCAGCTGCATGGCGGAGATCGAGTCACCACCCAGCGTGAAGAAGCTATCATCAACCCCAATAGCGGTCTCTGACAGCGAAAGCACCCGGGCATAGATCTTCTGCAGGCGGGCTTCGAGCTCAGTCGAGGGTGCACGCTTCGAATGATTTACTCCGAGATAGATTTCGAGGTCCTTACGCTCCAATTCGCAGATTTGCTTCTTGAGGGGCCTTCGATCCGTCTTGCCAGAAGGACTGAGTGGAATGTAGCGAGTAGGAATCAAGATCCAGGGCACCATGTAGGGTGGCAAGGAATGATGCAGATGCTCGCGCAAACGCGCCATTTCCGCCTTGTTGGAGTCAGAGGGTTCAAACAAGAGACTGGCCTCGCTATCACCAAGGGAGAGTTTGGCGTCACTCTGTCTGAAGCAGACGTACAGCACGACCTTAGACCCTAAGTTGTGCTGAAATG